TTTTTTTTTTTTTTTTTTTTTTTTTTTTTTTTTTTTTTTTTTTTTTTGGTATTCTTTCGCTGTTTCATTCTTCAGGCAAATTTTACCACTCTCCTTCCCTCCCCCTGTAAACGAATAATAGAATCCAAAGTTTCTTCTTTTTTTTTTTCTCCATTTTTCTTTTTCCTTTCTCGAATACTTTTATTGAATGTAATATAATCCGTCGAGGATGAATTTACATTACACAGCTGACGCTGATGATTTTTCACAGATTTCTGGCAGCATCTAGGACAACGAATAATGGCTAGGACGACGAATAAACCTCGAAGGATGTACCCTTGCGGAAAGTGTCAGAAGATATATTCGAACGCATCCTCCCTCTACCGCCATTTGAAACTCGAATGCGGGATGCTCCCGCAATTCCACTGTCCCTACTGTCGCTTCAGCTCAAAGAGGAAATTCAATTTGGACTCTCACGTGGCACACAAGCATAGCAAATTGCTCAACTGTTATGTAAATAAAATAGGATAAAACTTATTATTATTATTATTATTATTATTATGCTGCCGATATGATCTGGAATTTTTTTGTTCTGGAGGCTGAAACGAAGAAGAATATTATTATTATTTTTCATTGTTTCATTGTTGAATTATTTATTCGAAACAAATTTCGAGACGAAAAACGAGAGTAATCGAGTAATCCCAAATAAAAATTGCGACTTTTGTACATATCGTACTATACGATTCTATGTTTCTTCTTCAGATCTGGATATTTTTGAAAATGACGTCTGTTTGATCAACGATCGATTGACGATTATTTCAAAAATATCCACTGGATCTGGATCTTAATTATAAGACGCATTATATAATATATAATTATACTATAACGTTATATTATATATTATATAAGATAACAATTGTAATTCGAGCAATGTTTTTTAAAAATTAACCAGATCTATATTGACGACGCGATTCATTGAACGCCATTTCTCCACGATAAGATAATAACGAATTCATACAGAAAACGAACTTGTGTGTAGTCGATACGAATATAACATATTCGTGTCTCTTCTTCACTATAATCGTTCCTTATAATCCCAAAAGTGTAAAGAATAAACCGCATGGGTAATTACGTGTGCATTTCTTACAATCTCATTTCATCTCTTTACACGCTCTTTTTCTCTTCCTTTCTCTTCCCAAATTTAAAAAAAAGAAAAGAAAAAAAAAAAAAAAAAAAAAGAAAGAAAGAAACGTGTTAAAACATTATCGTTAATCGTTCGTTTAATTTTTACAGATAAATAATATCGATGCAACGATTATCCACAATTTCATCGGTCATACATTTTGGAAAACATGTTTTTTTTTTTTTTATCAACGTATTTAATAATTTCCTTTAAATCCTCGATACATATTTTTTGTTTCAGGACATCGTGTAACGTCATCTGAATCGTCCCGGTGATCGAAAAAGGTTACTTGCTGCTGTTACGTTCGAGAAAAAAAAAGGAAAAAAAAAAATGAAACAACAAAAAAAATAATAATAATAATAATTTGTCTTTATCCTCTCTTTCAAAAATACGTGTACGTGTTTTCAAACGCGCGCACGCCTCATATACATATACCATACATAAACTCACTGAATGCAACAAAATCTCTTGTACATTATATATATATATATATATATATATACGAATCCAAATCATTTAAGATGGCCGAAATATCCTGTTTTTTTTTTTTTTTATTATTATTATTATTATCTTATTGTGGAGGGTTGGAAATTGGCATCTTTTCATCGATAAGAAAAACGAGGGTCGAAGAGGATGGAGAGACGATACATATCATGGTAATCATAATGATCCATAAAATTAACCAATACCATACACTAAGCTTTTCAAGTTATTACTACAACTACTAGCAATATTTCTCGGTCTCTCGATCTCTCTTCGCAACCTCTTTTACAAACAACTCACGCCTATTCACGTAAACACGGCAAAATTTTAAACCACTGGGCGCACTTATTTCTCGGGGCTATTGGCTGATACGTTATGTGTTGGGTTGGTTACGGGTTTAATCTCACTGATCTCTCTTGCCGCCATTATAACTTATT